CCAGGGGACTGATAAAACCACAGTGTTATCAGCCCATCAGGAAAATGAAAGCCTCTCTTATTAGTTCAAGCTCTTCTTTAACAGCTTTTTCCAAGGAAGGAATGGAGGGACATTACCAGCTACCTGTTGATTAGCTCCAAAAAGTCCTAAGCAGACACGGTTCTGTCTGCCTGTCCCAGTGAAACTGGAGACACACACGCACCCTTCTCTCAGCATTAGCTAGCATACCACATACCTAGGGTCTGTGGGGCTGCGGTCTATGCTGTGGGAGATGGGGGAGGTGGGGGGGGATCCGTGTTTGAGCAGCAAGCAGAGAGGAAAGCCAGGAAGGCCCTGCTGTGCCTGCAGTCTCTCCTGGAGCTCTGGCTAGAGAGGAGAGGGGTGGGGCCAGCCTGTTCTCTGGAGCGGACAGCACAGACTAGCTCAGCCCAGCCCAGCAGAGCATCTGGGATACTGGGGGACTATAGTTTAACCTAAACCAGGAAGGGGTTTGGGACAGATATTTTATAAATCAGTTAAGTCTGATACTACATTCAATCAGGTTTATCTTAAACCAGTTTCAGCCATTTTGAAACTGGTTATGTGCAATGAACTTACGTTCTGTTACAGCTTTAAACTAGTTTCTGATTGCTTAAATCAGTTTGTGTAATGTCTATCCCTATCCCAGGATGTCGGAATGTAGCTGTTCTAGGTTTTCATAAATCAGCTGTCAGGTGAAGGTATCATTTCCAGATACAAATGGAATTTCATTACAAATAGTACAGAAGCATCTTTCATAGTCTACATAAGAGTTATAATGCATCAATCTTCTCTTCATTTTCAAAGAAAATGTGTTAAAAGATCAAGCAAAGATTTTTCAATTACAATAGAGGATATATTAAATTTTCTCCTTTGAAGTGATTACTTTTCCCTCCATTATGTTTGTATTAATTTTCCAGGAAAGCTTTCTTTTTTTCAGTTTGTTAATGTTGTCTTGTCAACATCTAGTACAGACAGAGCAGCCATGGAGCAGCCTCTTGGCTGCAACTCAAATTATGTCTTTAGTTAATTCAACCATATTATTAATCTCAAAATAATACTCAAGCCCTTGCATGTTTTTTTTCTACCGTTAAATGGCTCCTACAAAGGAAATTTCTCCCTACCATTACGGGATTCTAGTAGTTTTGTGGTGGGTCCATATAAAGACTCCATTTTAGTTCTATTAAATTTAGCAGATCTAAAGCAGTGGTAAATCTGTAGACATGTCTATAAAGCACCCCCAACATTGGGAGGGAGCTTAAGAGCTCCACATCTACCTGTGCCCAGTCAAACATGCCACACACAGAAATTCTGGTGTGCCATTCCTGGGGCACACCTGCAGCCACTCTCAAGTGCACTGTTTCTACATTGCTTGATAGAGGCTGCAGGGGACAACCAAGGAGTGGCTGCACTACCCATTTCCAGGGCTGGGTTAGGAAAGTGGAAGCAGGTGGGCTGGGTATGCTCAAGAGCTTCCCTCTGGAAGAGCCAGGAGGGCACCATACAGACATACCCTACATGACCTTTACTCCTTTTGCAAGGCAGGGGATTGATTAGTACATGTTCTCATCACAAGCCAGTATCCTGACCTGCATTCCTGCAAGCTTTGACTGTTTTTACAACATCAAAGAGGAGCCGTCAAGGTGCCTTCTCCTGCTCTGCTTTCTGTCTGACTTCAGGCTAACATAGCTAATAACCATTCTAACCCAAGAGTGTCAAATACACAGCCCACAGACTGAATCCAGTCTGCAAAACCTGCCCTAGTGCTGTCTATGGGTTATGGAGATGCCGCACAAACACAATGCAGAGCGTGCCATATGGCCCCACATGCTGCATACAGTGCCTGCTCCAGCTCTCTAGCATATGTCCAGCTGCCATGTGCAGCACAGCCCCAGATCAGTTCCTGCAGGACTGCACTGAATATACTACCCACCCTGGCTGCTCCAGGACATGCGCTGGATATGGAATGCAGGACCAGCATGTGCCATGCAAATAGATTAATCTCACCCCTAGGTTTCCCTAAAAAAAAAACCATATCCATCCCTCAATAGTTTTATTTTTGTTTGTGACAGAGGTCCATGAATAGGGCCCTACACCCACATAACAAAAGACAGGCTGTAAGAGGGTGACTGGGTCATAGGCAGTCAATCTCACTGGAGCATGCCAGCTCAGGGGGTTACTAGAGTGTAAGCCAAGGTCAAGCCAGGTGTCAACCTGAGTCCAGAATATCAAGCTGAAGGTTGGGACAAAGACATAGTCAGGACAAACAGTTTATCCAGGGCAGAAAGCACAAGACAGAAAATGAAGCAATCAGGAATAAGCAAGAGTGTCCAAGCCAGACATTCAGAGACACAGAAAGATAGTGTTGCCTAGACAGCTGTCTCTTTTCTTACCTAAGTTTATTTACCCAGTGTGGGCAGGGCCTTGGGACTGGCTCAGCCCTATCTGTTCCTTGGCTTATTACACAGATTACAGACATGGAAAGAACATGCTTCCCTTACTTGTAACCAAAAATCAATATGCATGTTAGAGGGCATGCTTTACTTTATATGGTGAGGCATGTGTACCAGACATGATCCAATACAGCAGAAGGTGGAACTTGCAAATTCTCATGTCAGTATTTATTAACAGCATATTGCCTCCTTCTTAGAAAAGCATAAGATAGGACTACACTGTACTTCCTGCATACATATCTAAGCTAGCTTTGAAGTGACCTAGGTTGACCACTCAAATATTTACTCAGCTTCTCAGGTGATTTCTGCACCTATATATAGAGGTACCATATGTCTGGGTTTTCCTGGACATGTCCTATTTTTGGGTCCTCCGATCTCCATCCGGGGTTTGTTTGTTTTTTTAAATCTGAACAAACGTCCAGGTTTTTCTCTGCTTTGCTGGCAGCAGCCAGGAGAGGGTGATTGGAGGCGGGGGGTACCACATGCAAGTGTGCATGCATATGCACGTGGCCAGCATGCAGCTAGGCAGGGTTGTGGGAGCAGCCCCAGCAGCTGGATGCAGATAAGTCTATAGGGAGTAGGGGTTGGAGGGCCAGGGCTTGGGGACTATCTGGGGTGTCTGTGTGTGGCCCCATGGGCTCCTGGTGGCATTGGGGGGTGGTAGCCAGGAACCGGGGCTGGGGTTGGAGCTGAAGCTGGGGCAGACAGTGGGGAAAAGGAACGGGGGGGCCTTTGAGGGCAGCAGGGAGCTCCATGGCCTGGCTGGCAGCACAGGGCCCAGTGCCCACGTTCACAAGGGTGGAGTGGCTGGGAGACACTACCCAGAGGGAGGGGGTCATGGCCAGTCAGCCTGGTGCAGCTCTGGAGCCCCAGCCCAGGGTGGGAAGTGCCACAGGTATCCCCTCCTCTTCCTTCCCTCCCGCACCAGGCTGGACTCACATGAATGCTGCCACCCGCATGAATCGGAATTGCCACACTCTGAGGGCCCCCTCCAGCGGGGCTGGGGAAAGCAGGGGGCTGTGGGTCAAGATTGAGGGGCACCAGCAGAGCTGGTCAGGTTGTGGCTTGGGAGTGAGGGCATGGGAGGGGTGGGGGGCTTGTGGGTCAGGAGTGTGGGGTACTGGCAGCACCAAAGGGATGAGGGTCAGGAGTGAGGGGCAACAGCATGGCCTGGGGGGGCAGGGAACTGAGAGTCAGGAGTGAGGGGCACTGGCTGAGCCAGGAGGCAGCCGGTTGAGACTGAGGGCTGCCAGCATAACTCGGGGAGGGGGAAGCAAAGGACTGTGGGTTGGGAGTGAGGGGCACTGTCAGGGCCAGGGGTCTGCGAGTCGGAAGTGAGGGGCAGCAGCAGGGATGGGGCGCTGCAGGTTGGGAGTGAAGGGCAATGGCAGAGCCAGGGGGCTCTGTTGAGAGTGACGTGTTCCCGCAACAGGTGTCCTCTTTTTTGGAACTGGAAATATGGTAACCCTACATAGGTAGCACTACCTGAATTTAAAGCTAGTTTTGGTACTCTTCCCCCATGTACTCTGTGACCTAAATAGCTCTCTCTGGAATTTGGGACTCTATTGTGCTATTTAATGTTGGAAAGGTAACAGCAAATCTCAACAAATGTTTTATTTCTATATTTCTTACAATAAAAGTAGAGAAAAGTGGAGTATTTCAATCCATTTTGTTGCGTCTTCAATACTGAATGAGGTTTTCACAACAGGAAAATACTTTTCATGAGCTCGCCTTCGCCAAACGCTTAGCCAGCTCTCTGCAGACCTGCAGCCAGTCTGTTGTTCTTTTTTATTTTTACTCAAGAGAGTGTTTTTCTATCTAAATAAAGACAGCTTAAATTTAGAAGTCAAATAAAGTATTTCAGAGTGCTAAGGCACTGCTGTAGCACTCGGCTTTGTAAGCATATTTATTAAGTGGAGGGAGAAAACAGCTTTATCTTTTTAAAGTATTCAGAGTTAGTAGAAGCAGCTTCATGGCTGAATCACAACTGCAGTGAGTTTGCAATCACAAAAGAGTTCAAATGCCTATATTTAGTTTGGTACTCTCCCTGCTCCTGCAACATTCAGAACCCCAGGAATCAATTCATATACATCTAAGAGCTCTGGCACTAATGGACCAGAAATGTTTTAGGTATTGATACATTGATATAACATAAGCATAAAAGAGCACATCACCAAGCACATTAAAAGTAAAGCTTTAACAAAAGGAACAATGGCAAGAGGAAAGGGGACAAAAGAGACCCAAATATATAAAAGTATGCATGTCCACATAATAAACTGCTGCCTGTCCTTACAGTAACAGAACATTGACAGCACTTGCATCTCCCTGCATTACCTGAGGCAAGTTAAGGTGATCTTGACATGTCAGACAGTTGCTTGTGTAGCTTTAAAGAATCAATATATATATATTGCTATAACAGGGGTGTCCAACCTTTTTGAATGTTGGGCCAGATCGTGAACTTTTTATCACCCAGTAGGCCGGCGAGCCGTATTCAAAGACCTCACAGGAAGCGGTATCACATCACCCCCCTGAAACAAAAGTACAGTGTTTACTTTCGTTTCCTGTCACAGCACCTCGGGCCTCAGAAAACAGCTTGGAAAGCCGCATGGTGGCCCGCGGGCCTCATGTTGGACAAACCTGTGTTATAGGATAGCTTGCCTTAAGCATGAGTTTGAACTATATGGCTTCCTGAAGTCCCATCCAGTTCTACTTTTCTATGATCCCTGCCCCAAATAAACTTAAAACCTTCCCCCATTACCAATATCTCTTACATCCACATGTGGATAGCAAATATTTTGTAAGATTTTGCGGGGAGTTGTTATAAGGTTTTCCGACTAAAAATCAGTTCCTGGGGTTTTGCAAAGCTATTTCCTTCAGCGGCTGAATTCCCCGATAGGGATAAAAAAATATTTATACATGCGACCTGGTAGCTGGTGCTTTGGAAATTAATCCCTACTCTCAAGGACTGAATTCATCCTACAGGTTAAACTTGATAACACTACAATAAAGGGATAGAGCTTAAGCATCAGATTCTTTAAATATATTTAGATGCCTAAGGATACATGCCTAGTATGGTATGCTTTAGGGCTGTTGGTTGTAGCCATGTTGGTCTAAGGACATAGACAGACAAGGTTCTTTGGGTGGATGTGATATCTTTTATTAGACCAACTAAGTAGTTGGCAAAATTGTTCTTTGCTATTTGTTTCTGTGCCTGGAAGCTTGCAAAGAACAATTTTTCAAACTATTTATTTGGTCTAATAAAAGATATCACATCAACCCAAAGGACCCTGTCTGCCTAGAGTGGTATGCCAAACTGCCTAGATACCAAATTCTAATTATTTTAATTCAATTTGCATTCAATGGGAGATAGCCATCAAAATGTGGCCCTGGGAAGCTGATTTCCACTCACCTGCACCTTGGGTAATCTTTTACAACTGTTGTAAAATGATTGCAAAATGCCAAAGATTCCTTCTCTCTGTGAGCCTGTCAGATGCACTTTGAACAGGTGTAAATGATGGAGTGATGATGGAATGACCCTAGAGGTACCCTTCTTTGCCTGCAGTTCTCAAATGTTAAAATCTTATTGAAATCAATATCATGTGCAAATGCCTGCTACTGAAGAATTTCTGACATGCAAACACTTGCTCAAATCTCAAAGTCCCTTCTATGCATGGCTAGTAACAAAACACATCTTAAGGTGTTCTCATCTAAAGTATTTAGTATACATAAACATGCACATTCCCTATTAAATTCAGAACTGTGTGCAACGGTGTTTAACATCCACAGCAATTCTGTTACTTAAAAGAAGCATTGTAATGACAACAGCAAGAATAAACGCCAACTATCATCACTAATCACTTCCTGTTTCTTCAACTGCTGTGAGCAAAATATTGTATGGAAAATGGTCTGGCTAAAAACTGTTAGGCTGCTCTTTGAAATTACTAAGATGTCAGCAGGAAAACAGCATATATGCAAAAAAGGAAGACAAAGGAAGAATCAGCAAAACTCAGGAAGCCGGGAAAACAAGGCACACTCATGTGTTAACTAATGTTAGATGTCATTTGTATAGAACATGCCTGCAGAACCAGAAGCCCTGACCTAGTCATTGGTGGTTTCATTTCTGCTTTATGTTTCAGAATGTTTCTACCCAAGACATATTTCTAACGTGCATCTCTAATTGCATACCCTTCAAAATTACTGTAAAACACAGCTCTGCCTTACCAAGGATACTGCCTTCCTGGGCTCAGACCAGAGCTGAAGACATGTTTGCTAGTATTCCCTAGCTATCTCTGACTTACAGCTAATGCACATTACTAGGGACCAGTAACAAAAGCTTCTGCTATAAGCTGGGAGCTCAACAGTTGAAAGCAATTAAGGAGGAGAAGCTCCTGGGGGTAATAGGTGACTACAGTATGACAATGAGCTGCCAATGGGATAAAGCCAGGTAAAGGCAAATGCAGCTGTATTAATGCCATTATCAGGCACTGATATAACATCATCTGGTCTCTTAGGTTTAGGAAAGATGAATTTAAACTAGTGCAGGTATTGAGAAGAGATCTGGGGATGATTAAGGGAATGGAGAGCCTATCAAAAGACAGCAGACTGGAAGAAGTTGGTTCATTTAGACTAGTAAAATGAAGGGAATGTAATTGCTGTCTATAAATATATCAAGAGGGAAACACGAGGGAAGGAGAACTATTTAGGCTGAAAGACAATGTTGGCATAAGAACAAATGGGCATAAAAGCGATCTTGAAAAATATAGGCTGGAATTAAAAGGAAGTTCCTAAGCATTAGAGCAATCAGGTTCTGAAACACTGTTTCACTAGCAGTAATGGAGACAAAAACACCTAACTACTTTTAAGGTAAGAAAGCTACTTTTTAAAATGGAGCTTCATTAGTATATAAAAGCCATTATATGACACGCTGCTTGAAAATAACAGGTATTGTGTTTCAATAATGCAAGATGAACCTTCTAGTTTTATGTTACTATATCAGTGCAGTACACGGTAGAATAAGGGGGATTTGTCTGAAAAGCATTCTCAGAGTCCAATCTCTCTGCTATCAGAAACAGTGGAAAAGATTCGCCATTGATTTCAGCAGCATTTGGAATGGATCCACAAGAATAAAACAGGTTCTCATTAGGAAAATGGTACCCAGAGCCTGTGTGACAAGCATTGAGGGGTTTAACTGCTTCCACAAATTTCTAGTTTTCTGACTACCACTTGCCATGCAAATAGACAGTGGGATAGTGAATGGTAGTGGTGTTCACCCCTGTATGCTGGCCTTGCCATCACAGCAGCTCTTATTGTTCTGGCAGTTGCAGTGAGAAGCCCTGTAGCCTGGATCTTATCTACCAAGTAATTTGAGTTTGACATCACTGAATTACATGATGAATAACAGTTCCTAGGAGGGCCAAGGAAGAAAGAGTGAGTACCCAAGGCATTTACCATTGTTGAGCAGAAGAGCCAGATTGTGCCAGAAAGGCACAAGTCTACAGTCTGGGGTAGCACAGAGCAGTATAATAAGGTATGAATTATGGGGGCACCAGCCCAGAACCCATTTTCAAGGGAGTGCCAGAATGACAACCTGCACCACAGCAGCAGCAGCCTCTCAGGTCAGGTAAGATTCACACAGCTCAGCTTTTTCTTTTCAGTGCTTTGCACAATCCAGTCCTCCCCACTCCATCCAGGACACCAACATGGCTAGTTACACCTGTCAACAGAAGGATATCAGTGAGTTAGCCCTACCCATCTTCTCTAATAGGCATTGTCACTGGAATACTTTCCTAAAGATAACTAGATTCACTGGCCTGCAGGGATCCTTTTTCCTGATTTGCCAAAATCTGCTACAGCCCAACAACTGTCCTGAGATTGTGGGTATTCTTTCACTACAGAGGCACTTCATAGTTCAGGTAAATAAATAACACACAAACAATGACAGTGGAAAGTATAGGCTCAGCTAGCGAAGATATAAATTAATAAGGGATGAGTCAAGTCACTTTCTTCCTCTGATTGGCACTAGAAGTCATTTTAAAAAAATGGCATTGCTTTTCACAGTTAAAGGTATATTAGGCCCTGTTAACCAATGAAAATGTATATCTTTACTGTGCAGGAAGAAGTTCAATAGGTCAGTTGATCAGCTTTCATATGATTAACCATTTATTCATGGAAATATTTTTACCAGTTAAAAGGCAGTATTTCTACAAAATAACAGTTGAGATTTTAAGGCCTTCTATATATAATTTACGGTGCAATGTTGGGATACATAAATGGAATGATTGACATAGATATTTAAATTTAGCGTTAGGACACCCTGGATGACAGGGTTCATTCAAAGTCTGTTTCCGGAATTGTTTCCATGCAAAATTAATTATTTATCTTTTTTTTTTTTTTTTTTTTTTTTTTTTTTTTTTTTACAGATTGAGTTTTGGAATCTGAATGTCTACATTCAGTCCCTCTGACTGTAACAGACTGGACGGCTCATCTACGAATTTTTTAACTTGTCAGTGTTTTAACTCATGAATTTACAGCAAATAGGGGTGAAATTCTCCAAGTCATAAGTGGTTTCCACAGGATTTTTTGGACCTATCATAGTTAATAGAAAGATAGATGTATGTAATTTGATTTTATTGTTTTGTATATATAAAAAAGAAACAAATGGGGAAGTACAATAATTTCCCTAAAAAATGTGATTTACAGGAATTAGATGGCATCTGTCAGAAATTAATACATGTTCTATGAGATCTTACTTGCTTAAAACAGTTTTTCAGTTTTTTAATACCTATTATAATAATATTTGTTTATGAATCAGAAATACAAAAAGCTTGTCTACAAAAACAGAATTCTAAAGCATTCTAGGTGAAAAGTTATAAAAATGATATTAAGCAACCTTTCCATAGCTAAGTTTACAAACTTCCTTTCATTTTGTTTGGCAAATTGTTTAGAACTCAAAAACTGCAAAAATACATCTGAATGTGGAAGGGGGAATTTCTGTCAAACTATTTTGGGTAAAAAAGCCATTGAAAAGTCATTACCTTGATGTGAAATTTTAGAAAAAAAATTTTCTCTATATGTAATTAAATAATTTTTTGTTAATCCCTGTAAACTTTCACTATAGTTAAATATTCTTAAATATATTTACACTAACTATAAAGAAAAAAAAATGATAATTAACAAAGCAATAGACCTCTATTAGGGTCTACTTAACTACGATTGATGTTGAATGGAACTTTCTGACACCCAGGATGCAATTAAAGAGTATATTCATGGGAAAACATGTTGCTTTCTCTTGGGTGATTGCAGTTTAGAAAGAACATAAGGGGTCTTTTATAGCTGACAACTAACAGTGATCTTTCTTTAACTTGAGTCACAAAACAAGTGCATTTTGGAGCTACAGGTCTAGATTTCAGTGTTGGTTCTGGAGTTGTGTATTTTGGCTGATGGAGATGGTAACGACAATCCCACAAAGAGATTAAGAAATATATACCCCTGTGGTAGGGTACTGTTGGTGCCTGCCACTTTAAGGGCTGAGACAAGCAGCCAGCAGATGCTTGATTGTGGCAGCCATTTTAGATCTCTGACCGTCTATATAAACAGAGCAGTTCACCGCTCGCAGGCCAGGCAGAAACATCACCTGGTTGTAAGGCTGAATGCAACATCTTGGAGGTAAGGGCAGGAGCTTAAGGGGATGGTTTGGAGGCTCCTGGTCCTGGGCATGACCTAAAAATGCACCCTGCCAGATGGATGACCTGATGGGGCTCCCAGTGGTGTGGGAGCTCCCAGAAAATACCAGGCTAGTTACCACGCTGGTGAAAGGCGGGTTGGGGTGCCTTAACCCCTAGCCCCCACAATACTGGGGTACAAGGAGGCCAGGCATGGCTACAGCCACCTGAGCCCAAAGAGGGTGTAAGACCCAGATGGGGCCAGGCATGGCTACAGCCACTGAGCCCCCACCAGGGAGGGAAACCCTGTGGCCCCATTGAGGGGGTGGAGATGAGAAGCCCCAGTTAAGGAGGTGGCCCCAGTGAGGGGGAAACCAGAGGGCTGGGAGCCCAGTATGTGTGCGTCAGTGTATAGAGTTGTCTGGTGAGGGGCGTGGGGCAGAATTAGGCCAGGGTTCAGCACAAGGCCGGACCACACAGAGTAGGGGAACTCACAGGAACTGAAGGGACTGCGTGGCGAGGCCAGTACGTGAGTAGCGAAGCCTGATGGCCCAGAGGGGTCACTCAAGGAGAAGCAGGCTGGTGGAGTGTGGTCTGGTAATGGGCAGTATGCCAGAGGCCCTGGTGAGAAAGGGGCGGAGTAGTAGAGGCCTCCTGTGAGAGGGGAGGTGGTATGAATGTGCATGTGCCTGGAGCCCAACTTTGGACTCAGTTTGCTCCATGCGCCCACCTTGCTTCGAAGATCTGTTCACACACTGCCTTGGTGCGGACACCTGGTGATAAATGTAGAGAGGCTTCATGCAACCTCTGGTAGGGACCTCGATCACCCTGGGGAGTACCCCAGAACTCGCCTGCCATGACTTTGGATATAACTTCAGTGGTGGGGCCTCCCACTGGAAGTCCCTTGAGGTTGGACGTTCCTCCCAATGAATATTTACTGGGCTCCACCTCCCCTACACCCCATTCATATGCCAGCCTACAGCAGGTCGCCTGATGTCACTGTGGCTTGCCCTCCAGTCTCAATGGTCTTTGCACTTTTGCGGGTAACAAGTCGTATTCTCAACTTATTGACAGGACTTTGGATCTATCAGATGCTCGCTTCTCCTGTGGGCTCTTCCCTCCTGTTCGGTGCTGGTTACTGACTGCTTCCTGTGAGCGACCCTTGTGGCTCATTATGTCCTACCCGGACCTCATGGCTCAAAGTTATCGCCCATGACACGAAATAAAAATAAAACAAACACAAGGCAACTCAGTATTATGCTCAAAATGAAACAAAGAAAAAGGTAGGACACAAAGAAAAGGAGGGCAGGTGGGAAAGAGGGAGATCAAGAGAAACGGTCCCTCCTCTCTCTCTGCCCTATAGCCACAGCCTGGCTGTGTCCCCCTGATGCTGCTCCCCTCTCTGCCTCCAGTGGGACCTCCTTCTGCTCTTCTCCCAATTGGTTCCTGTCCTACCGTTCAGTGCTTCTGGTGCTCGGAGCGTGGGACCGCCTTCACCTCTGCAGCTCCTGCTGTTTGTTCCTGGACGGAGTCTCCTCCCACACTCTGAAGCTGCCTGCAACCGTTGTGCAGTCTGTGGGAATCCACTGCTGCCTGGATCATTTCTCTCTGTTCGGGATTTTGTTCGGCTTGCTGGTGCTGCCTGCCACTGGCGTGCAGAGCCACTGCAGCCTCCGCTGCCTCTCCTGCTCTCCCCGTTTCCCTGCTAGTGCCAGCTTTTAACGCAGCTGGCTGGCATAAGTCCTCTGCCAGCTTCAGCTGTATATGAGCATGGCTAACAAACTGCGTGGGCTTTTCCCCTCGGTGCTGTCCTGTCAGCATGTGGTACCCTAAAGTAAGTAAATATTTCTCAGTTTCAGTGTCTCTCCTTTGTGTTTGCGTTGCCCCGTGCTTGTACCCCTGTGACACTCCAGTCTCAGGCCAGGAGTAATATTAATCTGGATGGCATCTGCAAGGTTTGGGCTGCAGTGTAGGGGAGGAACGGAGCTGCAGGTAGTGCCCCCTGGCATTGGGGCAAGAATGGCCAGCCTCCCACCTAATTAACACCATAATTATGTATCATTAAGGCATAGCAGGCGAGGAGACAGGCAGTTGGTCCAGAAACCGGTGGGCGGGCCAATGACAGACTGGCCCCAGGAGAGCTCCCTTTTACAACCACTTAAAAACCTGTTTGTTTTTTTTTAAAACCAAACTGTTCTATCCAATGTTTAGAGTTAAGTAACACTGAGAATAGGAATGTATTCTGCAAATTCTCCCTACTACTGTTCTCACAGGGGGAGCTCTCTCTTCCCTGCCCCAATCCCAGTTGCCTTCATTCTCAGTTACAGTTTCACAGTCAAGTACCTTCTCTATCCTCATTAAAGGGCAATTCACCTGGGACTGGGCCCACTGTCTCTTTCAGTGGCCAGGCAACTTGTGGAAACCCAGACGCAACTATAGAACTCCCACCACATGCATATTACTTAATCAGATGCCTAGTGGGACAGCACCTTCTAGATAGGAGCACACATCTCCATTAAAATAGCCAAGACAATGGATTACCCATCCTAAACTGGTTGCCTAAGACCAGTCTAGGAGATGAGCTTTCAGAGCCATGTGCTTCTCTGTGCTGAAGTGATGTCTAATGTGCATCTCTAAGGCAAGCTCAGCACAAGGCTCTAAGAAAGTATGTTTTTCCCTCTTAAAGTTCTTCCTCCACTGATGATCATCTGAGACATGCAGTGCTATCCTTTTCTGCCAGTCAGTGCTACTTGGCTGAACGCAAAAGTAGTAGTGCCCAAAAATAGTGAAGCTATTCTGAGAAAAGGTTTAAAAGACATGTCTGATGTCAGGCCCCTCTTCTCTCTGAAGTGCCCTTATCACCCTCATTTGAAATGACTGAATGACTTAAGATATTCTTTTAGTAGTCTGCTTATTTTCATTGCCATGAGCTTGATTCAAGCTGCAGCAAGAGCTCTTTAGGTTGGATATCAAGAAATACTTCCTCACTAGGAGAGTGGTGAAGCACTGGAACAGGTTACCTAGAGAAGTGGTGGAATCTCCATCCTTGGATGTTTTTAAGGCCTAGCTTGACAGAGCCCTGGCTGGAATGATCTAGCTGGGGATGGTCCTGCTTTGAGCAGGGGGTTGGACTAGATGACCTCCTGAGGTCCCTTCCAAACCTAATTTTCTATGAGTCTATGAAACTTACAACACTCACCATTTTTTTCCAAGCTGTCTCCAGAGTTCTGTGAAAACTGAAATGATTTGTTCATGAAAACAAGTTTGGCAATGGGACAAAACTAGAGGAATCACAGAAATTATCCTATTTAATTTCAAGATACAGAATTCTATTACTTCCCAGCAAGGATCACACAAGGCAAAGCATGAAAAATCCCAGAATAAATATGGCATAGTGATGGAGCAATGCACTATGGAATGCCTGACTAGAGTGCAAATATTTATTTTAATATATCACTGTGTTGTGAGGCTGCAAAAATACTACTACTCCACAACTGTTAAAAGGCAGAGAGAAAACACTGCAAGGTCTTCAGAGAAGCAGCCCAGAGCTAAATAAATACTTGTTTGCAAGAAGCTATTCAGATTCACTGTATTTGCCAACTGATCACACCTCCTTCCAAACAAGCAGTAATTTATCTATAGGAATATGACAGAGAGAAAAAAAGTTATAAACAAGACAAAGCCTGCATATATACTGCCTTACATAGGGCTCTGAATTTCCTTCAAAACTTAGAGGCCCAATTTATCCCAGATACCTCCATTTTTTTGGGACTGGGGTTCTCTATCCTGGAGGGCTATCTAAAAATGGATGGAATTCCAGGATTCCACACACAAATAAAGGAAACCAAGGGATTTATTGAAAAGGTCAAAGAGCCTACCTTGCTGTGCTTTTATGACTACAGAATAACTACTGCAGAAAATATGGTAATAATATCTATTCAATTTTTTAAAACATATTCTTAGAGTAGACAAACTATACCTTTTTAGCAGCTTCAAAAAGGAAGGAAGAGCTGCTACTGCCATAGCTGTAATTCTGTAACTGTTACCACTAGTCTGCTTCCTGCAATAGCTCTCCCAAAGAATAATAAATATAACTACCACTACAGGAATAACTACATATTAAACGACATCTGGTTCAGGTCCACCTACCTCAAGAGCCTGTGCATGTTGGCCTGTATTGCCAGCCTGTCTTTGAGCGTGACCACATTCCTCCACAGTTTGGTGTCGTTAGCAAACTTTGCCAGTTCACTTTTACTACCCAAATCCAAATGACTGATGAACATCTTGAAAAGCACTGGTTCGAGCACTGAACCCTGAGGGATGCCACTGGTCACCTTCCGCCATGACGACTCAGTTCCATCAATCAATCAAGCAATCACAGAAATCAATCATATAATAACAGCAAAGCCTTTCACCGCTTATGCAATTGTTCCTGGTAGGTTTTTAATGTAATTTCATGTAAAATTCTTTTTTTCCTGTTATGAATGACCAGTTTTGCCTTTTCTTTCTTTTCCATGTTGCTCCATAGCTGAGTAGGGCAGTGTGCACACTTTGTATATTGAACAGATTCCAGCACATTATGCATTAGTCAAGAAAACCAGACAACTGTGATCTTGTTTCTTTTGAGTCTGTAAAAGCAAAGCCACAATGAATGTAAAGAGGTTTTTTTTCCTAATTGAATTTAATTAAAGAAAACAACTGTTTCCTTCTCTGCTTTCACTATTATAATACATTTTGATACATATAAACAGAACACAAAGACATTGTATACAAAAACACTTCCATGGAACTATTATAAGTATTTTAATTAACAGTATATGAGAACATTCAGAAAAGCTGAAGCTAGTATTAAGCCACTAAATAAGTTACATTGTCTCATAGATAACAAGTAGACATATTTTTTGTCTTTTTAAGATTCTTTTAATATTCATTTTGCTCATTACAACAGCCAAAATAACTTATTTTCTTAATAACAGTGTTTAGTTGTTCCTACTTCCATTCTCCAGGGATCTATACTCTAATTCCTATGAAGCTGCAGTGTCATTTAATTTCTTCTTTACGTGACGGCCATATGCACTAATAGCTAAACCAACACATCTTCATTTACAGTTTTTGTTCAAACGTTTTGTTCAAATGCATCCGCTTCCTCCATTATATGCTTTCCCATGGCTTTCTCCTACATTCTAACAAAAGTCTCCACATGGAAGAGATTCATAAAAAGGGGTTACCAGCATGCAGTACGCTGTATGTAACAGAATACTCTAAAACCATCAACAACAGGGTAATATTTATACCCAAACCATTTCCTTAACGCCCCTTAGAAACAGCTTCATCATTTGAATCTGATCTAAGGCTGCTCGCAAATGCGTTAAAAACAAACAAACAAACAAACAAAAAAGCTCTTCACCAGAAGCAGCAGCCCATTAGTTGGACCCGGCTCTGCAACTTCTGTACAGATCGGGTGCTTCAGTGGGGCTTTTTCGTGCTTTTAGCTAAAGCTGATTCAATTAGTTATTAGATAAAAGCGCCAAAAAAGCCCCTCTAAACCTAGAGACACACTGCAGAGCTGGGTCCAACTAAGGCACTGCCTCTTCTGGACATGGGTTGGGCTCAGCACAGGAACACACTGAGTTTAAAGTGTCACACTTTTTTTTTTAACATCTGCAAGCAGCCTATTAGCTCTAAATGATGAACAGTTTCTTATTTTTCATTCTTCACCTGTTACATTAGAGAGCTCTCTAGAAATTTATGTCTCATTACGTTAACTTTAGTGGCATTCCATTTAAAGAAATATCATTTTAGAAATATATATTTAGAAGCATTTTTACCTGTAATGGAGCACAGAAGTACCTTTAGTCATTGAATGCTGAAGATAACCCCTTCCCAATCTCTAAAAAAAAAAATTTTAACATTTTTAACCCTTATATAGTTCCGGAGAAATTATGAATGCCCAAAAAGCTAAAGAGATACAATATAGGACAAATGACTCTTAAACAAATGCTTGCCTAGCAGACAGGACTGCTACTGTGCCACCATTACAGTCGCATTCCAGTGAATGTGACATTTGGCTCGTAAGATATACTCACTCACTTGCCACATATTGTCCTTACTATATTTGCTTATTTTTAGGAATTCACATGTACTACATATCAAGTAAAAAACGGGAAGTCATTTTTCCTGGTAGGGGAAATGCTGGATCAATCAGAGAGGAGGAAGAATAGTCTTACATTTAGATTCTAGTCTAATGCTGTGTAGACCTAGGTTCAGAACCCGGTTTGATTGCAGACTCACTTGTCTGATGCTGGATAAGCCAGTTACTTGCTGCCTCATATGGTAAAAAAGGATGATGATAATTCCTGCCATGTTATTATTTACTGTTCTATGTTACTATAGTACATCACTCCTAGTAATCAACAAGGACCCATTTATGCTATGTGTGGTACAAGCTCAGAATAAAAATGGTAGTCCTTGTCATGGAGAATTTATAATATAAAACAAAGAAAAATAGATGGATATAGACAGAAGGAAATACAGAGGGACAGCAGTGACTAGCATGACAGACAGTGGTCTCAAAACAGCCTAACAGTGGCCAAGTTTTCTGTAAGTATCCTGGCAAAGGGGAGATTTAAGGAGCAATTTGAAAGAGGATAATAAGGTGGCTTTTGGATGTTTACAGGGATCCTCCTCCAAACATGAAGTGGGGGAAAGGGTGATGGTCCTTTTGTAGCAAGTTGTGTCAAATTGTAGCAAAGGACTGATGGGAAGTGGCAATCAACCTTTCAGTAATGCATGTCAGATTGAAGAGAAGAGAGCTAAAGTATGATGGGTTTTGAAAGTGAAGATGCCAGCTTACATTTGCTCTGATAGAATAGGGGAGGATCCAGTAGACAGAAAAATAGGAGAGATTATAACGATCAAACAGGATAGAAAATTATCTTTGCCCTAGCATTATAAATGGATATCATAGGAACAATATGTATTTTTCACACCCAAAGGAAAAATGTTGCAGTAGACAAGAGATGAGGTGATAACAGCATAAATAAACATTTTAGAAGAACTGCTCCATCATTCCCTCCCCACTTCTCCACCCTGAGGAGGTCTGGGGCCTGGCCCAGGCATTCTCTTGGCCATTCAAATGGAGGGAGAAGGACCTGGCCAGCTTAAAGGCCCTACAAAGCTGATAGGCTTCCCTGGGTGGGTGCTGCCCTGGGGTGCTACCAAAGGGCAACACACTTAAAGACACTCTTTGGTGCTGCTCAATTGCAGTGACTTGGTGGGTACAGAGAGCAGTTCTTTATTTTTTTCCATTTTTGTTAGTTGTTTTTTTTTAATTTATTGTATTTTGTTGGGGAAAGGGGAGGAATTAGGTGTGTTTTTGTCAGTGAGGGGGAGGGGAGATGACAGTCACAGCCCCTCTGCAGAAGAAGCTTGGAAAAGACATTGAGGAAGGGGGAAGGATCTCCAATGGGGGTGACGCAGGAGTGTAGGAGAGGTTGGACAGGGAGTGGAAGAAGTAGGTAGAGGTTTCTTATATTTGGGTGTAAGTGGCTGTTGCAAGCATAGTTGGAATTAGCCAGAGGGTTTACTTGTGTAGAGATTTAGGCAGGGAAACAACTGTTGGGGGAAGTCAGGAGTTGGAGTTATCAAGCTTTGGGCTGTTTCTTGGGGAATCTGACTGGTAGGTTGTTTGTTTATGTAAGCTGACCTGAGCCCTTTTTTGGAAGGGGTGGGGTATAAATCTAAAAAATAAATAAACCCCTACCACTTAGGGGGCACAATGCAGAAAGATTCTCTAAGACTTCAACGTGGCCTAGATATTGGAGGTCCTAGTCAATGACGATGCTCATATTATTACCAGACCTACCTGAATAACAAGTAACATGGTGGTATTGTTCACAGTGATCAAGAAAGGAAGATGGAGAAAGGATTAGGAGGTAAAGATTAAGAGCTTGGTTTTAGTTATACTGAGCTTGAGGTGATGGATAGCCAACACAGAGATATCCAAAATTTTGCATTCCATAAGGGAAATGTTCATCTCAGTTTTCGAAACTGTCCCTGAATAGAGAAATGTAAGTTGACCTTTAAAAATAATCATATACACTTCGGCACAATTCATAGGCTATGCCTATACTGCTTCTCCTCAACCCTGACACTGAGTCTGAGTCTGGCCAGCAGGGTCTCTCAGAGCTGCTCAAGGTCCTCCAGAGCTTTATACATGGCCAAATTGTAAGGCTCCAGTGTGCTTTGGTAGAGCTTATTTCCTCAGATCCAGGGATGAGAAAAGCAGTATAGACATGACCAGAGTCTTTTTGAAAGGACTTCTCCCAAACCTCAGATCCTAATTTGTCAATCACTCCAAGACATTTCATTTCTAAACCCAAACACGTTCAGCTTAAGAATCTTCATCTAATATCATGCTCCATATTCATTAAAAAAAAAAAAAAAATATATATATATATACACACACACACACACACACACACACACACACACACACACACACACACACACACACACACACACACACACACACACACACACACACATATATATAAGTAACACACAATTGTCATGTGCTGAACTATGCTGATACAATACAGACCTATTGCAAAATTCAGCCTATTTGTAAATTGTGTTCTGTAATTTTATTTCTAAAATCTGCTAGAATTCTTTACACCGTTTCCTGGGTGATAGTGAGGAGGCAGTGATAGAAGAGCATTATTCGTTGAGGTGTAACATAAAGATATTATTTCAGCCAAAAAATAAAACTCCATCTGTTGAAGACAGTATGGCTGCTATATCATCCCAGAGCTGTCTAGATTCAACCAATGAAAAAGACAGTTGTACATTTTATATTAAATAAGTTGACATTCTTAGAAAAATGGGATGTCCATTCTTCTTTCTTTTCAGTTTAGTAAATAAGGAAAATTTTTCATTTTTAAAAGGCCCTAGGACATAAACTTACTAAGGATGAGACTATGAAGAAACAAAAGGACATGAAAATGTAAGTGTTTTTTGGACTTTGTCCATTAACACTGACAAGTTATTTTATAAACACGAGGTTTACATTTGAGTAAGTACATGAATATGTTTGGTGTTGACATGTGAAGATGTGAAATTGGAAAGGAAAGAAACAAATTACTTTTGAAAATGTAAAATTTGTAAAGAAAGCTACTTTGCTGTGGCAGAACCCCCTTCTGTAAAATTGTCGTGCCCATCCCTGGGAACATTGTCCCCACTGCCAAGGAGAATTGTCCAGTAGTTTCTTATGCAAACCTTCTCCCTAACGCAGATGGGGAAACCCCTATGATTCTGGCAATTCAGAGCTGACAGAAGCCATTGTACATTTATAACAGTGTACAGGTAGTATATATTAGAACAGGTAGTATATATTTATTAATAACCCTATTTTTTAGGCTTCCTAGGCTAAAAACAGTGAAGTACCAGCCTGTGTAGATAATCCATACTTCCCTACACAGAACCCTTCTAGCAACCCATGTACTACAGTGAACTCAGGCACACCACTTGCAGTCTTTATCAAGGCTGTTAAAGCAATGTTATTCCAGCTACAGCTAAATCAGGTCAATACAGGCCCCTCAGTGACATATCATGTGTTTGTCTTTCACAGGATGCCTGTGATCTCTTATGCATGACAATTTTTCTTGACAGCTTACTTCACACTATAATTCTTTGCATTTAAGTAAAGCCTTTCATCTTTACAAGAGGTGGCTATGTGTGTCTATTACACGGTGTGTATTTTGACATGAATAGATCTCATGACTCCCTGTCTCCTCCTATAGTCACTGAACTAAGCTATCTTCCTGGAATAGGTGTACCTAATGTAATTGTTTATCATCACCAGATATGAAACATAGGTTTACCTGAATCTTGAAGGCTTGCTGTTTCACCAAATTACTACTGAATATTTTGAGAAATGCTGGCTACATAAGGTGACATTCACTTTTGTATCAGCTACAGCACAGGACCTATGTACCACTTAGGCAAGAAATAGACATCACAGACTGAAGGGGATCAACTGTGCTGCAATGTGTCGCAGCACAACTGATTTGCTTCACTGGGCAAACAACATACATTCCCCTTGTCCTGCTCTTGAAGGCGCAGGACAAGGGGCAATGTGATTTTTCCCACTTTCCTCACTCATTCAGACCTGCTACTCTGCAATTGCTGGGGAACAGATTTGCCTGGGAGGGAAAAGGCTTTTATGGAGCTAAGATGGAAAGGGCAATCAGAAGGGACAAGTCTGGCCGGGTAGAGAAAAGTTCTTCACTGCCCAGCCAGACCCATTTCCTACAATCACAGGGGATGAATCTGGCTGGGTAGGGAAAAACTCTTTCCTGTGCAGCCAGATCTGTTCCCCGTAATCATGGGGGATGGGTCTGGCTGAGCAGGGAACCGCGACATCCCTGCTTATAAAGAAGCACCCCAAGATTTCCTGGGGTGTCTCTCTAAGCGGGGCAAGTGGACAAGTGTTCTGGGGGCTTGAGGGATGTCTGTGATGTGTGTTTCTTGCCCAAGCTCGAGGAACCCTCAAGCCCCCAGCACACCCGCAGGGCATGGTTGGAGTGTGCAAGTCACTCAGGCTGATTGTACTCTTCCACCACAGAGGTAGTCAATGTCTGCAGCAATAAAGCAGCAGATTCTATCACTACCTTTTGTTGCACCACTGATTTTCCTTTGATGTGGTCTGACAAAGGGTACTGACATCTATTTGCTCACAATTTGTGCCACCATAAATATTTTTATGCCAGCACAAATGAGATGTCAGGTGACATCTGTTTCCACCCTTAAATTCTCAAACCAGGAATTAAGAGATACATAGGCCCTGGCATATCTCCCTGAACAGGCAGGAATTCCATCTTTAGAAAAATGATTATCTGATGACTATCATTCATATGACAACATTATTGAACAGGACATTTCAGAGTCACACAGATGGGAAGGCATTAGCAGACTAACCACTTACTAGTAGGCATATTTCATGTGGCTGATCTAACTCTTAGGAATTCATTCTCAAAAATCCTCAGGCCAGTTCAGAGAAACTGAGTTAAATTGCTGTTTTTTGTTGTTTGGTTATTTTTTTACAAGTCTTCAGGTAAAATAATGACATGCCTTAAATTATGACAGCAGTTCTCTTTTAGCGTGTGACAATTCTGTATTGTTTTGCAGAAACAAAAGTCAAAACAGCCATCTCTAGCCAAGGTTTTGTGCCATACGCACAATTACTTCTGGATTTTTTCTTTTTCAGTGAGATGTCATCTAACATACAAACCTGTGTAACACGCTGCTATGCATGCCAGTGAAAGCTGTTGTACCTATTCTCTAGTGGCAAGCCACGAATCCTGATAAATCCACCCTCATTAAGAGATCTCCCAAAGCCTTCAGTAACATAATTGTGCTCTATTTCAGAAAAGTAATTCAAATGGTATTGCTCTCCATTAAAGGTTAACATTTTACTAGCATCCTGTCAAAAATAATCAGCAGCTAATCAATACTAATACGCCTTTAATTTTTTAAACTCTGACATATCATCTTGTGCTATAAATGATTCTGGAAGCCCCATTTTCTCTCATTCCCCAGTGCTATGCTAAAAGTTGTTTAAAACAATGGCTGGTTTATCTCCTATACACCCATGATGCCTTACATAACACTCAAAAGATCCTTTGCAAAAGGGCACGTAGTGACAGAGAAATTAAAACTTCTCATTATAGCTCCAGAGGTGTGAGTTCAAGTTTTGCTCAGGACTTGTACCAAAGGACATCCCCAGTGGACCCAGCTATAACTGTAATTTGGCTGGGGGGTCAAAGGGAACCAAATGTGATACTAGTCACATCATTCCTTTGCACGTTATTGGCTATGCATACAGGTGTGCTTTAGAAATACTAGCCCAATGGGCTACAAGACTCAGCAGGATTTGTGCTTGCTCTTGAAGATCTGTGATGCTAAGGAACTAAGACTGTTACAGAAACTCCAAGGAGGGTTTGGACTGTTAATTTAGTTATTTTTATAATGTTTTTAATTTAGTGTTTTTCCACTATGATGTGCTAACAACACAAATATTGAAAAAGTCTAAGGTCAGTTCTTATTACAGAATTAACCAAGTAACAGAGAATTAACAAACACACTACATTTCAACACTCAGTTCCTCATTTTTATCATTTCTCTCTACATCTCTATCTAGTTATTATAAACTGTATGAAGTAGGAAGCTTAACTTCTTTGCCTGTGAAGCAACTAATACACTTGCAACTCTGCAGGGCTGATCCAAAGCTCACCAAAGTCAATGGAAAGACTCCCACTGACTGCAGCAAGTTTTGGATTCAAGCTGGGATGGAAATATGGCAGTTGGAGAGATTAAGTCAAAAGTTCATCCAAACCTAATTAAGGCACACCAGTTTCTAAAACCTGCAGCATGCAAAGGTGTCATGTTCTTAGCAACACTCCTGACTCTCCAGTCCAAATGATCAGGAAACCTTTGGCACAATCCAGATCAGGATTTGAAAATAAACTCATGCCAAAGGTGTAAAGCTAAGAAGTTGCACATAAATCAGTTTAAGTGATCAGAAACTGCTTTAAACCTGTAACAGAACATCTCAGTGCACATAAATCAGTTTCAAAATGGCTGAAATTGGTTTAAGATCAACCTGGTTGAATATAGTATCGGACTGAACTGATTTGGGTCAAACCAGTTTATGAAACTTCTGTCACGGACCCCTTCCTGGTTCAGGTTAAATCAGAGTCCTCCAGCATCCCAGCATTTTTCAGCCCTGGGCTGTGCTGCACTGGGCTGGGCTGTCTGCTCCAGACAGAGGGCGACCAAGCTGGAACAGTAAGGGCTAGCTGACAAGAGGGGGAGCAAACCTGGCTGGGGATTCAGCCCTGTCTACAGAAGAGAGGGACTGACCCCTGAGGCAAATCTCAACTGGGGTCTGGGGCCAGGGAGTGGGGTTAAACACCTCTTCCCCCACTCAAACTTACTGCTGGCTGCAACTGTGGACTACAAATCCGAGAAGCAGGAAAAGGAAGTGATAAGCAACCCTACAGAGTCCTGCTATTGTAAGACTGGACTGCAAATCCCAGAAACCTCTGGGGCATCAGGAAGAGGAAGTGAACACACAGCCAGAGAGCCAGGCAAATGTCTGTTCACTTCAATTTCAATGCAATCTCTGCACTTTAGACTAACCTGCAAAGACTATCGATTCAGCCTCGGGCTT